AATTTGTTCAGACGACTTTTGCTATCAGGTTTAAATAATGTAAATAAAAACTCGGCAATAATTGATTACATATTTCATTTTCTCGTAAAAGAATTATCATCGAAATGCTTTTCTAGTTAAAATAACACAATTTAATAAATTGTAATTATAGATTATCTATGATGAGTTATGCCTATTCAAATAGTCTAGCAGCATAGGGCAATGATAATGTGAGATAGGCAGTGGGCCACGGGTAAATTCCCAAATGACCACTTACTCTGCACGGGTTCGTGAAGCCCGATCTCGGCGTCTGTTGGATGGCTAGGAGGGCAAATCGAGTGGGGAGTTCTTAGGTAAGTCGGCAGGTTTCCCTAATTGACAGGAGACAGGTTTAAACCTAAACAAGCATTTATTATATAACTAATTAAAGCACTAAAAAAGGTTAAATGCGGTTATATCTCAACTATTTACATAAATTCGATTTCGAATTTCCGAGTTCAAGAGAGAGCGCTTTTACAAATTCTAAATACCTCTCAGTGGAAGGGAGAGTTGGCGAACGTCGTCTATATGGAAGGGTATGGTGTCTTCGGTGTCTTCTCCGACGGGATCACAGTCCTTGGCATGGAGATCGATGACCACAATTACAAAAAATGCCTACACTAATTTAAATTATATGCCTTCATATAAAGTTTACTGTATTCTGTCTTCAAAAACACGTTAACGTGTTTTTTACTGAATTTTATGATAGCAGAGATAAAAGGAGAAGTTAATATGCAATTCAGCAATTTTTGCTGTAAACACATAAATGGCCTCACACGTGTTATTTATGTGAAATGTCCCTGGCTTCTGATCTATTTTACATACGAAACGTTGCTATTATTGAATTGTGTCAGGGTGATAAACCAAATAAAATTAATATTTCGAGTAGGGTCAAATTTAATAAAATTTTACTCGATATTGACATTTAAATATTTAAAGAGTTATCATTACTTTAAAAATATGGCTTCTGCCATTTACAGTAATTAAAAGTTAATATAATTTAAAAGTTTTTAATAGATGGCGCAAAACATAAATTTAACTTTGAGAAAGAGTTAATGTTCTTCTTGTACAATTATATAGTATTATATAGGGACACATCCGCACATCTCAACATCCGAACATACGCAAATACTTGAACATTCTCGGACCATCGTCAAGCTCTTCTGAAAATAGTTAGAATAAAAATTTTTTGTGTTTTTACTTGCGACTAGACTATTCTAGATGGAAAAATTTATTAAAGTCCTTCCGGAATTTAAAAAAATGTAAACAACTCAGTTCCTCAAAAAATATAGTAAATGCTGAATGTTTCACACTCTATCCGCAATATCTCTCGACTATCGAAGCTCAGAGGGCTTATTTTAATATAATGTATAAAATTTTTTAACAGATAACGCTAAACATAAAATTAACTTTGAGAAAAAGCAATGTTTTCTCTTAGAATTTAACTTCATAGTATTATATAGGGGCTCTTCCGGAACACCACCCGTCTCACTGGGATGGATGTTAATTAATCGTCGAAAGTTAACATATAAGCAAATACCTGAACTTCTTCAGTCAAGATCTCTAATATCTATATATATATAAATGGACATGTATGTCCCTATATCTCACTTTTCTGCCAAAACTACACATCGCATGTGAATGGTGTTTGTATGTGGTAGTAACCCCAAGTCTCCATTCGTGCATAGGGGTGGTTGCGACTCGATAGCTATAAGGGTGCGGGAGATATGAGGCCGAAAGTAGTTGAAAGTGGCTTTCTATTTTCGAACGTTTTGTTCGAATTTGTTCGAATTAAATTCGAACGTAAAATTCAAATATTGGTTCGATTATAGAACGATTATAAACGTTCCACAAGCGTTGAAAATCGTTCGTTTGACTTGACGTGAACAGGAGACGTTCAGAAATAGAATCGGGACCATAGAAATAGAAAACGGGTAAGATTGGCTATAATATAATTATCTTAATCTTCACTATCGTTACTTTTTGGCCACAAATAAAAACCCAGCGAAGCGGGTCCTTGCAGCTAGATTCTAGATTACTTAGAAAAAGTCTTTTATATATAGCCTATAAAAAAACTATATTACATACAAATGTACGAACAAATAAAAACCCACGAAGCGGGTCCTTGCAGCTAGTAGTTAGAATAAAATTATTTTGTGTTTTAACTCGCCACTAAACTTCTCTAAATGGAAAATTATATTAATAATTATCTTGTTTCATCTCGGGGGAGAACGTTTGAGAGAGCCGGACGGATTTTTCGTTGCTACTTTTATATCAATTTATCGTTTTGAAAATTATGTTAAATACGTTACTAAATTGCAATTTGCATGTATAAGTTGATTATCTAAAAAGATTTTAATTGCTTATTTACATTTGTACGTTTAGTGTTATTTCGTAAATGTTTTTATGCAGAACATTATAACAATAATTATATTCATTCATATTTATGAGCATAGATGCATTGCCATGAAGAATAGCCTTTGATAATATTTTTTAATAATAATGATTTTTCATGTAGTATTTTTTGTTTTCTTTTTATTTATTTTTTCATTTTTATACTATAAGAAGTACCTGAACTAATATTGTGCAAGTCACATTTATAGTTAAAAGAGATAAACACTTTACAACTAAATTAAAATCAAATTGCACAATTAAAAATTAAAAAAAGTGTAGATAATTCGATATTTGTAAATGAATTCAATAAAATGCACAAATAATTCAAATAATCAAATTGCAATAACTCAGAAAATATTACTGGCTCTGTTGCTAAATCATATACAACCACTCCACTAGTTAAAACCAGGGCTGTGGAGTCGGAGTCAGAGTCGGAGTCGGAGTCGTGGAGTTTTGGAGTTGTAGCCTGATACGGAGTCGGAGTCAGAGTCGGAGTCGTGGAGTTTTGGAGTTGTAGCCTGATACGGAGTCGGAGTCAGAGTCGGAGTCGTGGAGTTTTGGAGTTTTAGCTGGAGTCGGAGTCGTCAAAAATTCCGCCGACTCCGACTCCCTTTTACTTACCAACTTGTTATGTATATGAAACGGAGTCGGAGTCAGATTCGGATGGTAAGGTAAAGTCGGAGTTGGAGTCGGTAGATTTTTACGCGACTCCACAGCCCTGGTTAAAACACTAGTTCCGACTAAATTTGAATACCTTCTCAATAAACGTGGAATATCCAGCCCGGGCTTGAACCGTGGAGCTTGTATACGTTATTAAAGATTATTACGCTCGTCATGTTAGGCTGCTCAAAAAATGTACAATATTTTATAACGCAATAGTCTACTGCATTTCCTAAATTTATTGGGAATTGACCAACTTGACAACGTGATTACTGGCAACAGTTTTGATTAGTAATCCAACATTTATTTTACTGCATAATAACAGTTGACTACACGCAGTCAAATTAGTTTGCGTAGTCGAATTCATTTTATTTTCAATATACCGGAAATTTCGTTTATCTGACATTACTCTTATTCTTCGTATATGTCGAATTGCTTATTTGTATACGGCAATGCGACACGTGAGCGATCTGCGGTAGGGGAGATTTTCCCGAGAAGCATTTCTAAGAAAATCGATTTAGGCATTTCAAACGTGAATGAAACTTGGAAAACTCCATGTGTCAAACTCGTTGGCAAGGGGCAAACCGATGACTAACTATCTTCCCCGTTGCAAAAAATATAGACTACGCGGAGTGCATTTGTGATTGTTATATACAGCGAGAAATCTAGACTTATTTGCATTTCAAACGAATATCGTTTAATAAATAAAATACTTTAATACAGCTATGGTGAACAAAAAATATGTCTTAATCTTTGTAACAGAAATCTTCATATAAGATTGATAACATTATTTCTAAAAAAATCGACAGCAATATGTTTACACTCATCCCGCATTCGCGTAAAATTGCCACTTCGTTGTCCTTCGCTTACCACAGTAAATGTCGGCAACTCGCCTAGGCATTGCTGTTATATAGGCACAAGTGAGCAAGCAGTTCCGTTCCCTGATAATTCGGACGTGGGTTCTACAGGACGGGCCTGCCACGTGTATTTTTCCGGGTTTTATTCATGTTCTTAACGCCTAAATAGGAACCGGTTACCCATAAAACCCTCCTGGAATTCATTCTTACGTTGGCAGATCGCCCGAGTGTAGCGTTGCCGTAACTAACAAAACAAACGTAGGCACGGCAAAAATCTTGTAAAATGTTGGTTCACACTTCATGAGAAACCGTTTCAGCTGATCTTTAATTCAGCATTTGTTCTGTTGCTAGCAGTTTGTAGAGATACAGGTTGGCCTCTTTGTTCGCTTCATTGTTCTGCAGCTTCCACAAACGAACAGCAGAAGATGGTTATTTGCAAATAGTTACAATTTTTGTGATAACTCAGGATGTATCAATTCTGAAGAAAATACATCCTGAGTTATCACAAAAATTGTAACTATATGTAAATAACGTAGATACTCGTAACTACCACTAGAGGACCAGAAGCAGTTAGAATAAGTGGATAAAAATAATATGGTGTGAAGAATTCTTTGTGTTTTTTTTAATTGTAAAAGTGTCAGAACCTACAAGAAAAGGCTGACACTTGATCATTTTTAACATTGTGAAGTTTTCTACCAATTTTTACCTGTGTTTGAGAAGTGTTCTTCAAAGCAATTTTAAAACTGTCACTTTTGTGGTGGTGTATAAGGGATAAAGATAGACTCGAAAAGTTAATTTGACTTTTTGTAAATAGTCTAAACTTCAATTTTGAAGAAAATACATCCTGAGTTATCACAAAAATTGTAAATACTATTATGTTATTATGTAGTTAACAAAAGATTGTTTATATCCATATGTCTTTATTCTTTAATGTTTTATAACTGTTAACACATAAAGTGAACTTGTTTCTAAATGTAAAAAAATACTAAAAATTACAGATTATCTTATAAAAAAAATAAACAAAACAATAAATTTATTACAACGATCGAGTAACAATTTAGTAATTCCGATCTTTATAGAACAACAATAAAACAATTGCGCAATTGTTGAAATTACCATTTTAATTAACTATTCATAAACGCTGGACGCTGCACCATTTGACCCTAGAAAAAATATCTAATAATTTTTATTGGAGTAAAATTAAACGTTGTAAATCAAATCAAAAAAGAATATGCACGTTATTGAATTGAGAGGTTTGAGGAACTTGCCATTTAGATGCGAGTATTGTGGTGAAGTGTTTACTAATAAAAAAGCGTTACAAGATCATTTATGGATGCGCCATGGAAAAACAAGTAACCATACTTGTTTAGGACATTTTGAGATCAGATTTTTGAAGGGTCTGCCATACAGATGCGAGTATTGCGGAAGAACGTTTAATACTGAATCAGCGTTACAGCAACATATCAATGAAGAACATAGTGGAGGAAATAACCATACTCGTTCAGGTGGATTCTTTATGTACGAAGAATGCGAATTAATGTGTGAAGAATGCTTTACATTAGACCAGCGAATTATTCTGCCTGATCCATTTTCTGAAGTGCGTATTTAAATTTAAATTTTATTTTTTTCAATACCGAAAAATTATAACGTTACTTCTAATTATTATTGAATGTTGTCTTTATTATTCTAACACTTCCGATTTAGCGAAATGTTGGAGGGTTCACAAAAGAGTGTTACGAATTTAACAGTTAATCCGAAGAAAGTTAAGTTAATATAACTATTTTCTCAATATTAGGCATTCTACAATGTTTTAATATGTCAAGGGATCGTATGCAATGTAAATTGCACAATATGAAATGAAAAATAAAGTTCTTCACCAATCAGGAAGACTTTTTTAGTTAAAAACTACACAATAGCAATTAAGTTAAAAGTTACGCAGTTATTAATCGTATAGGCCTATAAATTATTTATAAAACTAGGAACATTTAACCAGAAGAAACATACTATTGAGAACAATCCCATAATATTGAGAACTCTTCTGGATGCTTTTGCACTAACAATGGATGAAAAACTGACACCTATGTTGGAGTGGTTAATACCACTGAAATTGGTAGATCCTGCCTCACCAACAGGCAGCACACGTGCATTCGTTTGAGCATTCTTCTGTGTCCAACAGCAAAGTATTTCTGCCTGGATGCACACCTGTAAAAGATCATACACGTGTTGAATTTCCGTATTACATCAATCCAATTTAATAGAATTTTCGTATTTACTATTAAAATAAATATGTTTCTAACTAAAATATTTTCATTCATGTATAAAATCTGTTTTTACAGGAAACCTTTGAAGTATTTGGAAAATTACAAAAAGATGTCGAAAAATCCGAAAGTTTAAGATCAACAAATAAAACTGAAGAAAAATGCTTCAAAGATTCAATTAAAATAAAGGATAAAAATGAAATAAAAATTGAGGATCGACAAAATAAACAGAATAATGCTGCAGAAGAGAAGTGAGATCTAGCAGAAAGTCTTCAGGAATTCTTTTCTTCAATTGCTCATAAAAATTCTGAGATCGGTAAATCTTCCGAGTAATTAGAAATATATAAATGCCACTTCTGCAAGAAAAATTCACTAATCGAAAAACATTTGATAAGAAATTACTTCCTTTGCAGAAATATTCATATAAAATTTGGAAAAACAATTTGTAAATTCAAAATTATACATGATTCTCAGTGGCATTTAATTGAATAAAATCGTTTCTATTTTATGCAAATGGCTTTTCTTTATAATTTTCTACATACCAATAATACATAAAAGTATCAATTTTAAGTAGCAAACAACTAAGGAATATTTTATAAAAATACTCTAAAACTGAAAAAGAAAAGTACTACAGTAAATAAAATACTTTACATTAAAAAGTAATATAATTTTACTTCAAGAATGTTATTTTTAGTTATTTTTCACTAGATAATATAGTTTCTCTAAAACAAACTACATGTATAGGCAAGAGCATCTTTTATTTAATTGTTATTTTATAGGCGTAAATTCAAACAGAATTTCACTCCCTGTATGTTTTTTTTATATAATAACAACTGTATACCTACTTTTGCAACCCCCTCCTGTATATTAATAAAATGATATGTTAATTAATTACACCAAATGCTCTCATTCAGAAAAATGTTACACAGAAGAATTAGGTATTAAAATGGAATGAACATTATTAGTGTGAATGAAAAGACCATGATAATAAGTAATTAGAATATCAGAGCAAACAACGAATTTTTTGTAAACAAGCAGTTCGTAATAAAGGAACTTTCAGTATCTTGTATGATCCACGTTTAATATATAACATGTTTGATATTAAATAAAGTGATGCTTTGATGCTTCGTACTTTGAATTTAATTCATTCCAGGAAACTTTCGGTATTCCAATCAATTTTTTCACATAAGAAATAATGAAAAGTAAAGTAATCTTAAACAATACCAATTTTGAACCAATAATGCAGCAAATTCGCATAATTTAAAATATTAATATAATAACAGAAATAAATGCCTTAATACTAAATTTAAACATGAAAACCATAAAATAAAATATGTAAATACTGTATAACAAAATGAAAATTGCCTTTTATTGATGGCACACTTTGAAGTTCGGCATCTTAAGATATATATGTGATACACAGAAATTTTAACAGTTGTGAAAATTAGCATATAAAAGGGTGATATTTTATTATATGTTGAGAAACTTTTTATCAATACTTTATACTTCGTTTAAATAGTATCAAGTCTTCGGATAAAAAGCATTTTGTGCATAATATGCTTTATGAGTTTGGAAAAGAATATAAACGCTGCACAAACAGTAAAAGTAAACGGAGATTTGCAATGTCTAAGGGGACAATGCTTCGAAACTTTAACCAAATCAAATATGGTTTAAAAAGTTCCTTTTGGAAAATTTTAAACTAATTGATACATAAAGTAAGGGATGTCGTAAAGCTGTCAACAAAGAAAGTTTGTAGGAAGAAATTGTTAAAAATCGAATAATAACACACAACATATAATAAATAACCAAACACACTAAAAATAATGCGATATAATGTGCACTATAAATAAAACTATAAATTATATTTTAAGTGAAATCTTCCGCTACAGTTTGTTAAATTAAAGTATTAATTAAATAAATTTGTTAAGTAAATAAATTTAGCAACGATTTCCGTAACTTTCCCGCTTGTTACGTGTTATTATTTAAAAAGTAATAATAATACAGTAGAACCTCGAAAACTCGGCTCTCGATAACCCGGCACTCCGGATAACTTGGCCACACCCTGTCAGGGCAAAAAAATCCTTAGTTAATTAATTTTCATTATAGACAGCTTTATAAAAGTATAAAAGCTCTCATAAAGTATTTTTCTGAGGTCTGTCTTATCAGGTAAATTACTGTACACAATGTATTCATTAATTTTCATTTTCATGTAGTAAAGGCTCTATGCCTTCATAAAGGACGTACTTTTCCTTTGTTTAAGGGTATTTGGGCAGTTTATTCTCTGTTGAATTCTGAGGTAAACAATACATACAAGTACAGTACAGTATTTTCTGAGGAAACACTCGTACTTATTTTTTTTAACCCCATTCCCCATAACCCGGCATTTTCACAAACTCGGCTACCCATCGGTCCACATTAGACCGAGTTTTCGAGGTTCTACTGTAATAACTTTTACCTCATTGAACAAAATAAATAAAATTGTATGTGGCGCCATCTGTTCTGAAATTTTGATATTAAAACTTTCTATATTTTTAATTTTTATAAAATAGCAAAAAGTTTAATTTTCAGAGTAGGAATGAGTTGTATATAAAATAAAAACGTAATGAGTAATAACGATTAAATTCTTCATTAAATCCTACTTCTCCGTAGATACGACACATGAATCTTCTATATCTTTTTACCGTGTTGATCTTTCACAACCGAAATGCTAGAGTTATAAATGAATCTAACAATGTGTAATTTTTTAATATTTATTTTGATAAATATCGAAACTTGAAACAGTTATTGAATTTAAGGTTTCTTAAATAAAAAAATTATTTACAATTAAGACAATTCTATTTACAAATTTAATAGTTGAAATGACTACTATTCAGATTTGCACATATACTGACTACAATGTGTTTTCTTTAATTTTTTATTCACGTTTAACGTCGAATTGTAGTGCATACGAGTGGCCACATTCTACCATTTGTTGTGAAATTTGGTAGCAGTAGCACTTAGATTTAAAGACAGTGTAAATGTCTGTAAATACAAGTGGCCTTGGCCTATTATAATCATTTAATTAATTAATTAAACAAAAGACTTTATACTCGAAAAACACCGCTTATGTTATAATAATCACTTTGTGAGGATAAACATCACCTCGTTGTTGTTCTGTAGACAGAAAGTGAAAGAACGAGTCCTCGGAGGGCAACGTAAACTGGAAAGGAAAGAGACGAAGCCAGATGAAAAAAACGAGTTCAGTCTATTAAGTCGTAATCGGGTGAGAATTTATTTGCGCGTGTCAAAGTCGACTTCGGGGGAAGGTAATCTCCGCGGAGATAAGGGTTATTTTCTGCAGAAAAAGAAAACCATTTTCCATCTAGGTTTCTTACTCTAGACAGAGTTTTTTAGGATCCCTTTTGACTCTTGTCCATCGTATCCTACCTCGCGCTACTGCCTCTCCATCATCCATACCGCAACTTCTGGGTATCGTCGTACTAGATATTCGACCATAAACGAGGTGCTTTTGTTACGAGATATGACGACCGCCCGTTTATAGTCAGGTGTAGGTAACTTCCGCTTTCTGCTCTCCTCAACATCTTTAGTAAGAACCCGAATCACTGGAATGAAAGTGAAAGAGCGCTTTCTGCTTATCATCTCCCGAAGTGCGCCTCTTACTTCATTTTGAAATTAACCATTGTGCAACGAAAAAGATGCGAAACATATTTTTATTGTCGTAATTTAATCTAAATTATAAGTAATAAATATATATAATTTCTTATGTAAAATTTATTTTAAAATGAAATAAAGATTTATGATAGTAGATTGTAGAAAATAATTGTTTTAATTAAAATAAAAATTTTAAAGTCAGAAATCTTTAATTATTAAATATAGTAATTTTAATCTTTTTAATAATTTTTAATGTCGGATGTATAATTTAAAAATTAGGTTCGTACAAATAATGTAATTCTTATGATTGCCATAACACAAAATATTTCTTAAAAAAGAGTCTATTTTAGTTGAAGTTTAGAGTACATCCGTGGGAATTTCATATTGGATATAATGTGTATATAAAACATAGCGGGAAATAATAATTTAATGTACTTATCAATTTCCATTTGGCTTCAACAATTCGACTGAATTTGAGCTAAACAAAAGTTAACAATAAAAAAAATGAAAAGTATTTCCTGAAATAAGTGGAAAGACCTCATTCTTTGTCTCTGTGACGAAATCGATTAATTGTCATCTAAACGGAGCTTTGTCAAAAAATCATTGCCACTAATTGTGATATTCGGCTAAACAATGTTCAAATATACCTAAATTTATAAACTTCTTAGTCTAAACTTACCAACAAAATGCCTGAAAATGATGCAAAACTCAGAAAAACGCTCACTTTTAATCGTACTCAGTGAATATTCGACATATCGCAACAAATTGTCAGAGTTTTATTGTTGTGTCACTACGAAATTTAATGTAAAACGTTTGGATTTTTCAGCAAATTTCGATTATTCCTCCTTTCTGTCGCTGAAAAGATGGATTACAGCGAAACATTCCTTGCATATACATTCATGTTAACATTAATACGTATTCAGAACTGTAATATGTCGTCTTTCCTGTCCAGATAGAAATGAATATAATTTTCTATTTTACGATGATGCTTCGAACCGAAGAAAATAGACTTCAAGTCTAATAACCCCGTTTTTATAAATATCTACTTTGTTAAGTGATGGTCTATAATCTTTTAATCAAATTGATCATTTGTTAAATTAAAATATCCGAATTTTATATATTAAACTTAAACATGATAACAACTAGAGAGCTAGTTACCCTCTGAAATATACGAAAAATAATAAGATGTATTGAGTGAGCAAACATTTCTCTTGAGAACGATTTATTTTTCCATTTAAAACGTATTAGAAACTTCATTCTATATGTGTTAAACCATGTCTAGTTAGACAAAAGAGAAGAGGAAGTGTACGTATTTCAAGCAAGAAATTTTTGCGCAATACAACTAATTCCAGAAACAATATTTAAACAAAGTAAAGTACACTACAGATCGATATATTTTTATGTAATAGAAATAACATTTTTTTTTCCCTCCTTAAGGGTAGACAGATCATCAGACCAATGCTGATTTTATATAATAAATGACAACGTATGTTTTTAATTTTGAAAGCATTAAAGTACATATTGTGTTCTCAAGTTGTTAAAAAATAAGTTTGTTTACAGTCATATGTCTAAGTTTATCCTCTGATGTTTTACAACCTTTAATACTTCAAGCGTCATAGCTTTCCCTAAATGTAAAAAATACTAAAAATTACAGAATATATAGAAGATAAACAAAATACTCTAAATACAACGATCGCGTACAATTCAATACTTCTAATTTTTATAGAAAAACAATCAAATAATTGTGCAATTGTCGGGATCAACAATTCTGTTGCATATTTGTAAAAGATTCATTTGGACATTGGAAGAAGTATCTAATAATTTATATCGTATTTAACGTATACATTTTAGATC